TAAAATACATTTATTAGAATGTGTTGTGAATTAACTTTGTGTCTTACAGTAAACACATACAATACAATCTGAAGATGGCAAGTCATTGTTGTCAGCTTCTATACTTTTTTTTTCCACCTGAAGAGTATGAATGTTTTCAGTATTATAGTGTTCAGTATTTATGCATTGAGTCAAAGCTGCAGAACTTAAATATCAAAGCATGCGAGGAAATCTCTGATCTTTACATCAAAGTCTGCTGAACAGAAAAGGCCCTCTTTGCAGCAATGAATGTCAGTGAAGGTCACACAGCTTTCACCTTTATTTAGATAAGCAAAAGTATCGATGTGTGGAAAAATCCAGTGTGAGTTGCATCTGAAACCAAATGTAGAAAGTTTTAAGAAAATGTGTTCTATATAGATCTGGTACCTAATGACCATAAAAAGAGGATTTTTCCATCTCATAAACTGTTTTGTAAGAAATGTCTGCCTGCATTGATCCAAACCAGAATATATGGGATGCACACTCATTGTTTCTTAGGTACAAGTACATTCGGTCTATATTCTCACCCTACCGCTAGTTTGCTCTTTGCATGAACTCAAGAATCTTGAATATGACTAACGTTATGGGAAGGCATGAGGAAAAATAAGGATGATGCAGGCAACTAACCATCAACTCAAAAGAATAGCTAGGACAACAAGTAGCCATTATTACTTGAGTATCGCCTCCAAGTTTCCCACTGAGGATCAATAAGTATGATTTATGAAGGTAAGGCCACAGAGTCATAAACATAACTCTAACATGAATTAATACCTGCACCCAAACTTTAGATTCTTAAAAACAAAGCAGTACAAACCCTGGAGATCACAAATCTCTGTTACTAAGTAGAAGTCGCCACACAAATTCTGATATTGCCAAGCTCCTCAGAACTAAAACTCTTCAGGAGTACCAGACTTTCAAGATGGTCCCCCAACAACTGTTCCCAATCCAAAAAAAGGGAAGCATAAGCATTTCGTGTCTTGCCAGACCATGGCACAGAACACAAAATGTTGTTGCATGTAGCCCTGCGCACAGAGAACAGTCCAGGGCTTAGCACATGTTACTCCCGAAGTACGTTTCATTCTTCAGCTTTTTTATCTGCATTTCCTTTGATCGTTGAGTCTCAAGAGTTGTAACAACTTACTAAAAGGAAGGGAAGTAGGAAATATCATGCTTTTCAACTGTCTGCTAGAACATGGAATAAATACATAGATATGAAAATATTCCCCCTTCTGTCTGACAGTCTTCAGTCTTGCTGAACAAATTTAAAGTTCTTGCAGATTTAGTCAATGAAAAGCCAAAGCAGCATTCCCAAGTTTGCAATCAATAGCCAGAATGAACAGAAATGTAGATTAAAAGCTATATTATAGTTTTCCTCCATCTTTATTTTCAAAAAAAATCTCATGTAATCCCTGTTGTATGAACCATATGTACAAAAAATTTATAAAATGGCAGAATTTGGCTTAATGTCATTTAGCCTGGAACAAGGCGAGTTAATACAAATCTGTGATGGTGTAAGCCAACTCGTTAGCCCTTGACTATTCTCCAGCAAACGTGGCTATTTTTCTTCCATTAGTCTTCACTTTTCCAATGAGCAATAAAAGGGAAAATTGCAATGTTATAACTTCATTTAGAGGACAGCATTCATACAAACCAGCTCTCTCTTCGTGAACTGCACAGCCCCAAGTATACAGTGCCACAGGGTGGTGGTCAGGGTGAATGAGCTAATTTACAATTAAGTTGTCAGGTTTAGACTTACTTCGTATTCCTAGACTAACAGTAAACCCTTTGTTTTGCTTCAATATTTTAACATGTTATATCACAAAATTAATTAGGTGAATGATGCCTGAACGGACGTATTTATATTCCAAAAAGCCTGATGATGGAATAGGAACAAGTCAAAGTTAATTGGTAAGAAATTTCTTATTATCACTACTCATGAGAAGTCATGGAATAGAGTATCTCAAGTGACTTATCTTTCCAACCAGTGTTTCTTCAAAATGAGCCTTCAGCATAGAATAATGGCCCCAACTGAGTGATAAAAAATAGCCAAACATAAAAAGTCATAAGCCTTATAAACACATGAAATAATTTGATACTTCTTTAGTTTAAAATACAAACTCTACTTTGATTTTGTATTAAACCAGTTCTACTGAAAAAGCTCTTCCCATTTTTAAAGGATAGTGCCTTAAGATTGCCTACTTACCTGAAGAACAAGGTAGGTGAAACATTAAGTATTCACCATAGAGTCTCAAGTACCCTTTTTTTCATTCTTGCTCTCTCTCCAGATGTACTAAAACCATATACTGAATCCATTTATGCTGTGTGAAACCAGAACAGTACCTCCTGTTTAGAATGGATTCCCTCTCTCTTCATCAGCCTTTCTGACCAGATGTTTCAGAAGGATGGAACAGCAAAGGCTGGACTTTACACACTTAGTGGCATGCAGGTATTTCATTAACAGCTACAGCAAATTAGGACTTCGCTAACACTGCAATTTTACTGGGAAACTTGTATAACATACTGCCCGCATACAGTATAAGTGCATAAGCCACTAATGTGAAAAAGTTATCTTCTGCAACAGGAAGACTGATAGGAAACAAAACTTCAGCTGTCAGCAATGGAAAGAAATACATCCTAAAACATTTTTATATTGAACTTCTTGAAACTTAAGGCAAATTTCTCCCATTAAGAAAGGAAAAAAAGGAGGAAAGCAATGAGCAATGAAACTACTTGAAAGGACCAGTTAAAAAGGGTGCAGTATAGCTAACCAGATAAAATATTGCTTAAAAGACAAGTTTTAATCAGTCTCATAGGCAAATCAAAACACACGAAAATGATAGCACTTTTAAACTATGCTGGAATGTGCTCCAGTGAAGCTTTCCATATCTTTCCATAACTGCAAGTCACACCAAAACAAAGAAAAGTAAAACCGAGTAAACCAGTTTAAAACTGTACCATACTGAAGCAGCAGAAATGCTTAAGGAGCAATATGATAAAAGAATATTAAAATCTCTTCAAATTGATCTCTTCAAAGCAGGCAGTTTGCAAAAGAGTTTGCAAGCCAAGAAATGAACAAGTATGAAAGGAGCCTTTGAGAATTTGAAGGCTACATCACAAAAGCCAAATGAATGATTTGTCTGTGATAGGGACTACTTTCCCAAAGTTTTTAAAAGCTAGGGTTGAATGAACAAGGACCTGCCTGAAACATTTTAGAACAAATTTGTGAATCAGGACCAAGTCATTAGGATTTAATGGCACTTTTTAATCACCAACCACACAGCATGAAGTTGAATGTAATGCTTCAAAAAAATTAAACAAGTCTCTGAAGGAGTCAGCACCTAAGCACAGAGGATGACTCAAAGGAACATGCTGTATTTTCAAAATCTTCAGATAGGTCCTCCAAGGGCATGACAGCTACCATGAAATAGAAGGGACCTTTAGTGTACTCCCGGGCCATTGATTCAGAAAGGAGAGGAACAAATAGCTAGTTTTCATAAGTGAAAAGATTTCAAAGCTCTCTTTTCAGTATCAATTGATGTGAAAAAAGCAGAATACTCAAAGCTAACCACGACTGTAGACTCCAAAAGATCTTGATTCTGACAAGATCCTCACTGACAGAACAACAGATGGAATTTAATGCCATTTATTGCACAACTAATGAATCTGGGATGGAAAACTCCAGCCCTAACTCTAAGATAGCTTCTACTCTCTTCATTAAGTTCTGGAAGTATAGAAAGCTCACTGAAAACATCAGCCCAAGCTATCAAAGCTATCAAACAAGCTTACTAGTTAAGGAAAACAGGAGACAGCATTTAGAAATTGTCTATGCTGAATACCATCAACTAGTGTTGAACCTAAGAGAAGCAAGATTTAGAAAACCTGTACAGGGCAGCATGGATCAGATATGAAACCACACTCAGATAAGGCAAGGCTGAACAGACTAAAATTTAAATCCTTGAGCATGACTGCAGAGGACAGAGGTCTATAACTGACAAGGCTTGTAGGAAAATGATTCATTGTTTCTCATAACAGGAACTAGACAGTTGTCAGACAGGTTTAATATAAAGTACTTTTGTATGCCCTTCAAATTTTGTTTTAGCTTTTATTAAAACACAAGTCCAGAGGAAAAGAAACACTTCAGTAGGCCTAGCAGGCTACAAATATAATAGATCACTATTCACCCCATTTAGCAAATGTTTAAGCAAAGATAACAACCAGAAACACTTCCTGGCTAGATGGAGGTTAAATCTGACCAAGTATATAAAAAACAAAGTTTAGTCCTAAATCCACACAAACTCACTTTCCCATGTAGGCTGTGGGGACTGCCTGGCAGTTACTTCACACTGTATTTTATATTCTTGTTTGTGCATTTCAAGGAAGCATTGGCTAGTATAGTATTAGGATGCACATAAGTCACTTCATATTAAGACTACTATTGAGGAATAAATTTGATATTTACTTAGACATAAGCAACTGAAAAGCACATACAAGCTTTCAGTCACTCAACAATATTGATCTTGCTCTTCAAGGATCTTCACACTGGTTGTTTTTTGGTTTGGTGTTTTGTTTTTGTTTGTTTTTTTTTTACATGGAATATTGCAACAATTTCCTTTTTGTTTGAAATAGGCAGGTAATGGGATTCTTGCTAAGGATGTAACAGTACTTGTTCTTTAAAGTTTGAGACAATCTTTTGACTAGTTGGAGAACATGAAAGTAACATACAGCCTAATGAACTTAGAAGTTGGCCAGCTGGTCTTAAAGTTCTTCTGCATTCTAAAAAATTCAGAAAACCACGACCAGACATTCAGAATAAAAGATGAAGATTAAGAGGGACATTTTCAATGGATTTGCAAGTTCAAGATCAAATTTGCACATGGCAACAGAATGTTTCTGCATGACAATATAAAAGTATTCACATCCATGAGACAAAGCCTTCATGCAGGAAGTACCTAGATGAGAAAACTTGAGAACACACAAACTTTTGGTAGCATTCTCACATTTTATTTCAATTAATCTACACAGACATAGAAATAAATTACAGCAGTTTTTAAGAAACTTCAGTTTCAACAAACAATGAGGTTCCTATTTAAACACAATCATTGAAGATGTGGTTTTAGCCATTGCTTCTCTCAATTTCACTTTCAAGATAATACATTACAGGCAAGAACTGGAGTCATCTAGTATGAATCAGCCACTCATCAAATCATAAGCTGATGTTTACATCAGTTCCAACCCTTTGCACATGCTAGTTTCCTCCCTGTAAAAAGTTTTATTTAATTTGCAGCCAGCATCGCACACACAAGAGCGGAAATTGGCCTAAGGTTGAGCTGTATGAACATGCTGCATGACACTAACCCATAAGTCAGAGCCATTTCTCAATACAAATTTCTTCGTTTGTACAGGACAGGATTTTTCCTTTCCCACATCATTAGCATGGATTCCATTCCAGAGGACCAGCCAGATTAAAGTAAATGGATCCAATAACTATTGTGACCATAAGCTTTCCTCAGATTTTTCCAATTTAGATTGGCTAAATCTATATAAATTTCTAACAATTTCCACACAGGTTTCCACCAGTCCAAACTAATTTTGGTTTTGTTTTTCTTTTTTTCCTTTTAGTTTTTAGGTAAGGAATAATTTAAACAGCTTTGGATTGTGTTCTATATCTAACCACTAACATCTGATAATCCTTTTTATACTACATACCTGGAGACCAATCAATTTACAAGGAACTCTTTTCACTCAAGATCTCACACGTGTTCATGAAGCATCAACACACTTGAGAAACCTGGAAAATAAGATTTACATGAAACTGATATCAAGACTCAGATAACATGATAATCAGATGACAGTTCAAAACCTACCTACAAGTTATTTTGAATACAATAGAGTTGATTTGGTAACTTCCCAAAGTTCAGTGGTTTCATGAATGTGTTCCTCTCAGCATGCTCCAAAGAAGAGTTTCAACCTCACCTCTGGGTTTGAGAGAGAACTTATATACCCCTCTGTGTTGGCCACTTAAGACACTGCCAGACTTAAGAGGGCAAAGCATAAAAAGGGGAGTAGGTTATAGCACCAATTTTGTCTTTTTAACTAAGATGATCTGAACTTACCATTTACTCAAAAGAGGTATTACAATTTACTTGATATTTGTGAATTATCAAAAAGTAAGATTTAAAACGATCTGCAATTGTCATTACACTAGAGCACACTTACCTTCTAGCAGAAGGTATTATTTGTTCCTAAGAAGTCCTGAGCATTGCTTCTAATTTAGGTGTGATCATCCATGTCTAGAATATTTCAAACATGAAATTGCTAAGTGGGACCCCTAAAGAGCACAAAAAAGGCAAAAATTATTAAATTATAATATAGTTTATATTACATCTAATTACAGACCTTCTTAAAGCTACATTCTACAAAGTTGCAGAAATCATTTACATAAAGATCCTTATCAAATCAAGACCTAGAACAAAAGGTAGTAAATGGTTCAATCTGTTGAAAAGATTCTTTTCTGATCTGCCCATTCAAACCACATAGAATATCTTTTTAACATCTTTTAAAATATACTGATAATCAGAAACAATGGAAAGTTTATTAAGCCTAAATTGCTTTTAGTGTTGACACTACCCTGATGTAAACTGTAAATTTTTAGGTTTAAGAGACTGATCTTTACCAGCCAATTCATTGCTACCCTGTGCCTACTTACATGTACCTCATAACAAATTACACAGCACTCAACCAAGAGAGACAAAGGTCACTGTTATAGGCATACTCGAAGACTGGGCCGAAAGCCTATGCAATCAGTGACTTTTCCTAAGTCCCTACAGCATTCAGTACCCTAAACACTGCAGGTTATAACTGTAGTTTTCTTGATGCAGCCTATAAAAAAAGAAACCACTACACTGAATCAGATTTAAGGTCTGTACACCCTTCTGTTGAAGGGTACAAACGTACACAAATACTGCTTTGTCTCACGGTGGTACAGGCCAGTACCCTCAGGTACATGTTTGTCTTTAAGTGGTAGAGTCTCAGGATTCAAAGCCCTCCGTTTCTGAAGCCCAAAGCCTTATCTAACCAGCCCTAGGCTGAGGCATGCGATGAAGTCGGTGTGCCCCCTTACCTATCGCCGTTCAAAGGCACGACTCCACATCTCCAGCACTTCCCACTGGCAAGGCCTACTGTGCTTTGCCTCCCGCCCGCGCCGGGAGC